AGGGTAGGGTGAGGATTGAGAGTCTTATTAGGGGTCCGAGACTCTCAACACAAAGAGATCATAAAACAACAATTTTACTTATCGGTGACTCGACACCTGGCCGAGAACTGCACCTACACAGGGTCCACTCTCGCTTCTTTGCCGGGCAACGTCTCATTCAACCACAAACACACTGACTCTACCACCAGAAATTACTAACTACCTGAGGCATACCGGTCTTGGATGCGCTATCATCCAATCGGGGTTCCCTTCGGGAGGTGATCAAGCTCCCCTTCTCTCGAACCTTCGAGAGGTCCTTTCTGGCTAACAGACTGTTATCCCATAAACCATGAAGCCAAGATCTCTCACTTGGTCCTGAAGTAGTGTCCCAATATTTGGTTCCCAAGTCCGGGAACCAAATATTGGGTCGCCTCGGAGCTGGCGACAAAGATGTAGTGTAGTCTCCCAGACAAATGTCCAGTGGCACCTGAGACACAGCAGCGATCCGAGAGGCCGGCTCCGCAACGATCCCAGCGGGCTGTGGTGGAAATCACCTGTCTCGGTAGTCACGCCTGGTTTCCCGGCCAACGCACCAAGAAATGTAGCGGGAAAAAGCTTCTGGAAACCAACAATGGACTCCGGACACAGACTTCAGGAATACAAATCTTCTTTATTCTCTGCGCAGATCTAGACCCAGGGGACTACTGTCTCCAAAACCTGAGTGGCCTTTTAAGGGCGGTCACTACATATACATATAACAACAATTACGTCACATTACATATTTCTAATACACTTATTTCCTTTACAGCTCTAAGCCAATCAGCAAGCAGCATTTGCAATTCTACTAAATATGGTTCATATCCGTTATCAACTGTGGTCACAGCTTGTGACTACTATTGTCACAGTCTTCTGACAAGGAGGAGGGGGGGTCAGTCACAAGATTCTGTCATCTGCATTTTTAGTTGCAAAATTACAGACGACCTTTTACACCCTGCTGCGCTCTTTTGCATGTGTGGTTAAAATGCAAGAAGGAGGGAGGGGTCAGAGGCCTCATTATATGTAGATTAAAAAAAACATGAATTATTTAAATACATTTAGCCATCTTGTCTGCTGCCTTCAACATCACAGCGCAATCTGCAGGATAGGAACTCGCCGTTCCCCTGTGAAGAGCCATGTGAGGTCCATGTGACTGGTGAGGGGGGATGGTGTGGAGGGGGGACATTGCTGGAGGACATTAGTGTTGGGGTCAGTGGTGCCCCCTCCGAGAAAGCAGGTAAGAGTAGAACCCGACCTGAGACTTCAGCACTATTCACATCCTGCCCCAATACCATCTACATCTCCCGGGGTGTTCTGGGGCCCCTCTCTTCCTAATAACCCCCCAAATCTGCCCATCTGTTGTCCGGGGGCACGGCGCTCCCCTCTTAAGATGAAACTTGCAGCACTTCCTGATTTCATTACTTCCTGTATGTGGTCCACCCGAGCATGACAAGCCACCGGATGTGTTATGAGGAACAAGAGACTCGTCCCGGCGGAGAGCTTGTTATGTATCGTTCCTTGTCTGCAGATCTAAGACTGACAGCAAACAGGAAGTGTCACGTCTGATCAGGCCGGGAGGAGGAAATATAACAGGTTTGTAGGGGGCAAGAAACCCAACAAACACTGAGTGACCACCATCTACATGGGGAAATTCCCACTGGGGGCAGCCCGCCTATTACCCCCTTGTATTCCCATCCTAATATTATACAACCAGTACAGTCCAGATAATTCTCCACTATCCGTCCACAGAGATCACATGACCACATCAGTGAAGATGGAGGAGGACCGGAGTCACATGACTGAGAAGATACTAAAACTCTCCCTGGAGATCATCTACCTGCTGACCGGAGAGGTGAGGAGGATTCTGGGAGGTCACATGACTCCACCCTTTTCTCTATTAAAAAAAAAAACAGACCGGAGAGGTGAGGAGGATTCTGGGGGGTCACATGACATCTCTCTTATGTATTATTCCTATTGGTTTTTCAATACAGGAATTTCCTCTTCTGAGGTCAGGTGATCATGTGTTCATCACAAGGTCTCCATGTGGCCCCCAAAAACCCGAGAGACCCAACATGGAGAAGATTCTAGAAGTCACCAAGAAGATGATGGAGCTGCTGACAGGAGAGGTGAGTGGTGCCGGGAATTCTGGGACATGATCCAGGAACAGACAAGGGATGTGTCTGGAGGGTGACGGTATCATTGTGTGTGTCAGGTTCCTATAAGGTGTCAGGATGTCTCTGTCTATCTCTCCATGGAGGAGTGGGAGTATCTAGAAGGACACCGGGATCTCTACAAGGACGTCATGATGGAGGATCAGCAGACGTTGAGTTGTGTGAAGGTTGTAGGAGAAGAATTTCCCCGGAATGAGACCATATTGAACTTCACCCTGGAGATCATCAGACTGCTGACTGGAAGGGTGAGTGCGATGAAGGGGTAGAAAAGGAACTCCAGGAATCTAAAAACGTTAAGGTGAAAAGCTTGTTTTGATGCTCAAATAAAAGTAATGCACCAATCAGCAATATCATTATAACCCCCCTAATATTGAGTAGGTCCCCCTTCTCCTGACCCATCCAGGCATGGACACCACTAGACCTCTGAAGGTATGCTGTGGTATCTGGATGACCCCAGTTATATTGAGTTGGTCCCCCTTCTCCTGACCCGTCCAGGCATGGACACCACTAGACCTCTGAAGGTATGCTGTGGTATCTGGATGACCCCAGTTATATTGAGTTGGTCCCCCTTCTCCTGACCCGTCCAGGCATGGACACCACTAGACCTCTGAAGGTATGCTGTGGTATCTGGATGACCCCAGTTATATTGAGTTGGTCCCCCTTCTCCTGACCCGTCCAGGCATGGACACCACTAGACCTCTGAAGGTATGCTGTGGTATCTGGATGACCCCAGTTATATTGAGTTGGTCCCCCTTCTCCTGACCCGTCCAGGCATGGACTCCACTAGACCTCTGAAGGTGTGCTGTGGTATCTGGCGCCAAGCCGTCAGTAGCAGATCCTTTAAGTCCTGTAAGTTGTGAGGTGATCGGCCTCCATGGATCGGACTTGTTCTTCCAGCACATCCCACAGATGATCAATTGGATTGAGATCTGGAGAATTTAGAGGTCAATTCAACACCTTGAACTTTTTTTGTGTTTCTCAAACCATTCTTCAACCATTTCGGCAGGGCTCATTATCCTGCTGAGAGAGTCCACTGCCATCAGGGAATACCGTCTCCATTAAGGGGGGACTTGGTCAGTAACAATGTTTAGGTCGGTGGTACGGGTCAGAGTGACATCCACACACGCCCGGCCATCCACACGATGTACATCAGACCCGGCCACCTTTTTTCGTTGTTTTGTGATACAGTTTTGATGCTCATGTGCCCATTGTAGGTGCTTATAGTGGTGGACAGCATTGGGCGCCCTGACCGGTACAGCCCCATACGCAGCAAACTGCGATGCTCTGTGTGTTCAGACTCCTTTCCATCAGAACCAACATTCACTTTTTCATCAATTTGAGTTACAGTAGCTCTTCTATTGGATCGGACTTCCCTCCCCACGTCCTTCAATGAGCCTTGGCCACCCATGACCCAGTCACCGGTTCACAGGTTTTCCTTCCTGGGACCTCTACAGACGGGGAACATCCCACAAGAGCTGCAGGTTTGGAGTTGCTCTCACCCAGCCGCCTAGACACCACAATTTGGCCCTTGTCAGAGTCCCTCAAATCCCTACACCTGGCCATTGTTCCCCCCACTTCCATGTGTCATTGTAATATATCTCCCCACTTCCAGGTGTCATTATAGTGGTCAGAATGGTATAGGTGATCCGGGTATAGTAACCTGAACCTCAATCCCTTCTGTCTTGTTCCTCGATTACGGGAGAGTGATATTTCTCTTCATATAACACAGAACTATACAGAAGTAATGAGGAAATCTACAGACAATGACACGAACAGGAGATATAACGTGACCACAAATCCCATTATCATTCCACCACATCCTAGAAGACAGAATACATCAAGTTGATATCTTCTCATATCATAAATAGTTATTTCTCTTTTTCTCTTCTGTTCAATGAAGGACGCAGGGAAGATAACAGATCTGGAACCGCTCAGTTATAGCGCCACCACCGGGAGCTATGCAGAAAATACAAAAAAAGCCTCTGCTGATGGTCAACTCCCCACCTGGGGGGTACAGCCCAGTGACCGGCTGCTATCCATACTTGAGGTTGTGTCCTGTCCTTTGGTGCCCGATCAGATGGCACCACTACCTGAGGCCGCATCTTGCGGCTTCGCACGAAGCAGTGACACCCTGCCCTGGGAGTCCATGGCTGCCATGCCCAATTTTTGGGCGGTTCTGCTCCTCAGGCCATGGAATAAGTCGTAGACTCAATTACCTGATGCGTGGACATGGCGAGATCTGGATGTTGTTGTAGACCACTTGGAGCATTGGGGCAAGCAGGGGAAGATGGGCATCAGGGGCCAATCTGCAGACCCTCATTATTGTACTCATCAGTCCAGAGCACCCGCTGCCGTGTTACTAACTGAGGCCATGGTGGGGGATCGGTCACCAGCACAGGCCGCCCCTTGGCCTTTTTTTGTGTTTTCTGCCTAGCGTTCTACTCCTGCAGGTGGCGCTATAACCCAGTGGTTCCATATCTTGGCCGTGTCCTTCACTGAATGCAGAGAATAGGATTTTTTGTGCTCTCCATAAAATACTTCTAGTTGACAGATGAGACTTTCTGCCATTCTGTTGGTTTAGGGTGAAGATCTGATGAAGATGAAAGTTGAGGGTGAAGTAGAAGAGACGTATGTGAGGGATGATCAGCAACATACGGAGGAGGATGGAATGATGAGGACACTCATAGAGGAGGACACTCCTACAGAGATCAGTACGGGTGAGCAAACATATAGACATCTGTTACCTCTGCTCTGTTCCTGCACACTGATTGGCCCAGAGTAGGCCGGGATCTAAGTGATATCAGCCAATAATTATTACAGTCCCCTCCCTGTACTGATACCCTTTCCCAGATCTATATCTCCAGAAGTCTAGGCCTGTGGTCCCTTGTTCTGTGGTGAAGAGTCTACAAGTCTGAATTCTGAACCTCTTGTTATCAGAGATCACATGACCCAGTGCCTAGGCTTGTGGTTAGGTGAAGAGCATGCTCCTCCCAGTTACCATTGGCTCCTCCTCCACTGTCAGGGGTGTGTAAATGTAGAAGTGATCTGGGAGGCGGAGCAAAGGCCCTTTGACTGAAGAGGGGAGGAGTCCCAGCTGGTTGGGACCTCTACAGAGAACATCTGCTCCCTCAGACCTCCTGATCCAGATGGAATGTTGAGTGAAGTCATCTAACCCTCTCATATCTCTCCATCATGTGTTTCTATGTTTCCAGGACACGCCATGGAGAAACCCTCAAAGGATCCTCTGACTTTATCTCCAGGTTGTAAGATGGAAGATGAGGACATCACAGCAGATTGTGCGGGAGAAGAGACAATGAGCTCAGCTATGGATGGTGGACTTCACAGTGTGGATAGAGCATGGAATCCCTCTGACTCTGAGCAACCTCGTCCTGTGGGGGATGGTGCTGGAATTCAGGGGGAGAAGACATTTTCCTGCCCTGAGTGCGGGGAAAGTTTTACCTCTGATTTTACTCTTAATGAACATCAGAAATCTCACATGGGGAAGAAGCCGTATTCCTGTCCTGAGTGCGGGAAAAGTTATTCATGGAAATCAGTACTTGTTATACATCAGAGGTCTCACACGGGTGAGAAGCCGTATGCTTGCTCTGAGTGCGGGAAATGTTTCTTCAAGCAGACCTATCTTAAGACACATCAGAGGTCTCACACGTGTGAGAAGCCGTATGCTTGCTCTGAGTGCGGCAAATGTTTTTCGCAGCAGACCCATCTTAAGACACATCAGAGATCTCACACGGGTGAGAAGCCGTATGCTTGCTCTGAGTGCAGCGAATGTTTCTTGCAACAAATCAGTCTTAAAATACACCAGAGATCTCACACGGGTGAGAAGCCGTATGCTTGCTCTGAGTGCGGGAAATGTTTTTCCAGGCAGATCAATCTTAAGACACATCAGAGGACTCACACGGGTGAGAAGCCTTATGCTTGCTCTGAGTGCGGCAAATGTTTTTCCAGGCAGAACAATCTTAAGACACATCAGAGGACTCACACTGGTGAGAAGCCGTATGCTTGCTCTGAGTGCAGCAAATGTTTTTCCAAGCAGACCCATCTTAAAACACATCAGAGGTCTCACACGGGTGAGAAGCCGTATGCTTGCTCTGAGTGCGGGAAACGTTTTTTGCGGCAGATCAGTCTTAAAACACATCAGAGGTCTCACACGGGTGAGAAGCCTTATGTTTGCTCTGAGTGCGGCAAAGGTTTTTCGCAGCTGTGCCATCTTATTAGACATCAGAGGTCTCACACACGGTTGAAGTTGTAGATATGACTCGCGGATGAAGAGAAGGGGAGATCAGACTACATGACGGGACTGACCATGTCACTGCAGTAGTCATCAGTCTGCACAGGCAGCTTCATGGACTCTGGAGAGCCCCCTGCTGGACGAAAGTGGAAGATATGACGTCTTCAGACGGAACATTTCACATTTCCCTGATAACAATGACAAAATATTAACAGATGTATACAATGTAACAAAAGAGAAATACATTCTTATATTCTTCTTATCATGATATTCATTGTAAAGTGATTGACTCAATTGTGCCAAGCTGCATCAAAGTGATCCCTCTCTTGCTAGCTGCGTCATAATAATTCTTCTCTAACCCACTGCATCAAAGTGATCCTTCTCTGTCCATCAAAGTGATCTCTTTCTTGCTAGCTGCGTCAAAGTGATTCCTCTCTGGTCAGCTACGTCATTATAATCCTTCTCTAACCAACTGCATCAAAGTGATCCTTCTCTGTCCAGCTCCATCAAAGTGATCCCTCTCTGGCTAGCTGTGTCAAAGTGATCCCTCTCTGGCTAGCTGTGTCAAAGTGATCCCTCTCTTGCTAGCTGCGTCAAAGTGATCTCTCTCTAGCAGGCTGCGTCTAATGGTGGCCATACACTCTACAACCATCGCAAGACTTTAGTCTTGCGATGGTTGTAAAGGGATTAAAAAAACGCACGATCTGCCTATCTTGGACAGGCAGATCGCACTCTCCATTCTGCGTCAAAGTGATTCCTCTCTGGTCAGCTACGTCATTATAATCCTTCTCTAACCAACTGCATCAAAGTGATCCTTCTCTGTCCAGCTCCATCAAAGTGATCCCTCTCTGGCCAGCTGCGTCAAAGTGATCCCTCTCTGGCTAGCTGTGTCAAAGTGATCCCTCTCTGGCTAGCTGTGTCAAAGTGATCCCTCTCTGGCTAGCTGTGTCAAAGTGATCCCTCTCTTGCTAGCTGCGTCAAAGTGATCTCTCTCTAGCAGGCTGCGTCTAATGGTGGCCATACACTCTACAACCATCGCAAGACTTTAGTCTTGCGATGGTTGTAAAGGGATTAAAAAAACGCACGATATGCCTATCTTGGACAGGCAGATCGCACTCTCCATCATCGCAAGCCCCCCCCCCACAGGGGCGGGCCTCCGAGCACCGTTCTAACCAGCCGAGAATCGTACGATTCCCGGCAGGTTTTCGAACATGCTGGTTCGACGGAAGACGTGCGACCGTACAGTAGAAACGGTCGCACGTCTCCGTTCACACTGCTCGATTCTCGTACGAACGCGGGATTTCCCGCCATTCTCGTACGAGAATCGAGCAGTGTATGGGCACCTTTTGTGATCTCTCTCTCTCTGGCCTGCTCCATCAAAGTGATCCCTTTCTGTCCAGCTGTGTCAAAGTGATCCCTCTCTGGCCAGCTGCGTCATAGTGATCCCTCTCTGGCCATCCTCATCATAGTGATCTCTCTCTGGCCATCTGTGTCATAGTGATCCCTCTCTGGCCATCTGCGTCATAGTGATCCCTCTCTCGCCATCTGCGTCATAGTGATCCCTCTCTGGCCATCTTCATCATAGTGATCCCTCTCTGGCCATCTGCGTCATAGTGATCCCTCTCTCGCCATCTGCGTCATAGTGATCCCTCTCTGGCCATCTACGTCAAAGTGATCTCTCTCTGGCCAGCTACCTCAAAGTGATCCCTCTCTGGCCAGCTACCTCAAAGTGATCCCTCTCTGGCCAGCTGCATTAAAGTGATCTGTCTTTGGCTAGCTACGTCAAAGTGATCTCTCTCTGGCCAGCTACCTCAAAGTGATCTCTCTCTGGCCAGCTCCATCAAAGTGATCTCTCTGGCCAGCTGCATTAAAGTGATCCGTCTTTGGTTAGCTGTGTCAAAGTGATCTCTCCTTGGCCTCTCTCTAGTCTACTGGGCAAAGTGCCAATATCAACATGCTTATAGCATTGTGTAATGGAGATTTGGTACCAATATGGGGCAAAACTCTTCAGGTGCTAATGGAGTGTTATCACTCAAAACTCTGCACACTATGTACCCAGAGCCTCCGGTCTGTACCTGACATCACTTCATGGCTGTAAGTGACATCACTTCCTGTCAGTATTCCATAGCGACGTTCCGTCTGGGTGTAGGTGAGAACACCAACTTGTGAACTTCAGAGGAACCGCCGCCCCCGAGAACCGTCTCGTAGTTGTGAACACGGCCTCGTCATTGTTACCGAGTGTCCCGGAATCTGGAGGACAGTCCCGGGATTTGGGATCCTGTCCCAGTGTGTCCTCATCCTGCAGGTTCCAGGGTGATGTGCAGACGGGCAGTGAGTTGCTGACTGCTGGAACATTCTCCGGGTCTCGGGACCAGTTTCTGCAATGATGCCAGACTGTCGGGTGGAGGGATCTCCTTTGTGACGGTGAAAGTAAAACTCTGACATCAGCAGAGAGACCGCGACGCCGGAGAGTGTGATCAGGTAAGTAGAGTCACCAATGATGGGACTAAAATATAATTCCACCCGGAATTCCACCATCACAAGATCATCAGATGACATCTACCATAGAGGAACACCCCTCCATCTTTTCTATGTACCATGTCCCTCTAAACCAGAGGATCAGCATGACTACAAGCAGCCCGGACGTGAGTGGAGTTGAGCAGAGTTCCTGTAAGGTCTTGTACAGATGGGCGGCAGGCTGTGGCGACTCTGGGAATAATAAATAGGGGGCACATAAGATACCACAGTCAAAACTGGGGGGGCACTAATAATTGCGCCAGCTATAGAGCACTACAAATCCCAGCAATACATTATACAGCAATGCAGAATACCACCAGCTACAGATGACTACAAATTCCAGCAATACATTATACAGCAATGCAGAATACCACTAGCTACAGAGGACTACAAATCCCAGCAATACATTATACAACAATGCAAAGTACCACCAACTACAGAGGACTACGAATCTCAGCAATACGTTATACAGCAATGCAAAGTGCAACCATTTAAAGAGGACTACAAATCTCAGAAATACATTATACAGCAATGCAGAGTACCACCAGCTACAGAGGACTACAAATCCCACCAATACATTATACAGCAATGCAAAGTGCAACCAGCTACAGAGGACTACAAATCTCAGAAATACATTATACAGCAATGCAGAGTACCACCAGCTACAGAGGACTACAAATCCCAGCAATACATTATACAGCAATGCAAAGTGCCACCAGCTACAGAGGACTATGTATCTC